AAAATATGTTACATAAATCAATTATGAATAAAAATATTGAAAAATTGTAAAGAGATAGACGTCGCATATATGACACTATGCAACAAAGAATTAACGTTTATTTTTGAGGAATTTTTTAAAGAAATATATTTCACCAATTTATTGATTACGTTTTCAATATTATCAAATGAGAAGATAAGCTATTCTAAATTTTATCAGAATACATTGGCAAAAGATAGATTATATTCCGAGGAACTCCCGACATTCTCATTAAGTAAATCTTGGTCTACACTCTTTAATTCGATTGTTTTGCACTTGCATGTTGCAACTGAAGCATGCCCTGCAATACTTTTGGCTTCCATAAGTAATCATATCGTTACAATTCATTAGGAAATACGCTAGCAAATATAATGTATACATATATACTTATATACATACATATGTACTTTTATGTATGTTCTCGCAGATATTTTAACTCGCGGTAATGTTTTACTCGTTAAATAAGATTGAACGTTTAACGTTTGTGAAACGATAAGAAAAATATAGTGCATCGTTTTTACGATATAATGACCACACATTGGCGGTAAATTTACGCAAAACGAATCTCATACTCTGTCGGAGTTTTAATTGCATGGAAATTATTCGATATTAATAGGACATGCTCGTATGCGTTCGATAGCGTCCGAATTGATTATCTTTTTGATGTTTTTGATTTCAGAATATTATATCGCGAATACAATCTTATATTATATTTCACATGTTCATACAACGCAACATATTGACAGAATTGAAAGCTTGTGAGAACTTGAGATTAATTACAATATGGAAAATATTATTTGTTGTGTTTTGTCATTGTAATTTATGAATATAATGTCAATTTTCTATATTATAAACATAAAAGAAATTATGTATTTAATATATCAAAAAGAAACGAGCTTTTTCTTAATTGTTACCATTTATCGTTATATTAGGAGAGCGAGCGTGGCATGGTAGGCAGCGCACTGGTCTACTATGCCAGAAGTCTCGGGTTCGGCAGAACCGGGAAGAATGTTTTTCATACGCTCGCGTCTCCTCTTCGGCGGTCTGGCAAACTGCCAAGAGTAATATTTGCCACGGAAATCTCTCTCAATTTAAGCCGTTCGGATTCGACATAAAATTAAGTCCCGTATGCCTGTGTACAATCTGCGTGCGCACCACAGGTATACGTAAGTGAGAGAGGTAGGTCTAGACCTGACTTGGGCTGTAGGCGTCATTGGAATTGGAATCGTTATATTATAAGAATCTCTGCTTGTTTTGCTTTTAGGGATGGAGGCGCTAATGTCTGAATTTTTCAATGATACAACCACTGCGTTTTACATAATCTTAATAGTTTGGCTTGCCGATCAATATGATGCCATCTGTTGTCATACAGCTCTTACAAAGAGACACTGGCTAAGGTATGTGACTATGATTAATTGCCAAATTAATAACATTGAATGCTTTTACGATTTTTTTCATATTTTTACATAGTTATCAGGAACAATGAAAGAATTATACTAGTAAAAAGAATTTCTAAAATACATTTCCAATAGAAGACAAGATGATCGAAAGAGCATTTAATTAAAAAGGATTAAGTTGTACAAAGTTGTATAAAGTAGAGTGAGCCTTGCGTGTCGGATATGCTAGCTAACCTGCAACCTTTTACGCTTTAATCCAATAGTACTGTTTCGGCACAGGTCCTTTTTAAAACTAGATATTCGAAATATCTTAAGAAAATTAAATTCTTTATAAGGGTTTATAAAAGTTTTATAAGTTGCGCTAAATAGAAAAATTAAAATTTTACACAATGTAAATATTTTATGGAAAAATATGAAATATAATATTTCCTTTGTATTTTTGCATGCCATTTAAAAAAATTTAGTTTATTCAATCATAATCTTCTTTTTATGATCTCTACTAGAGATCATGCTTTTTGTGATCTTTACTTGATCACGTAAACATCTGAATAACCTAATTAAAGTTACTATTATATTAATGATTCACCGATATATATGAATATATTTTATATCTTTGATCATTAACATATCGTGGTGATCCGATTAATCATAGAGTTTGGATTAATCGGATTTGAACGTTCTTTCTATACGGGGCTGCCTGTTGATCTGTGGTTATAAACGTATGACGATCGATGTACATTCCGCAAACATCGAACGGCAATTCGCTGATTCAACAATCTAGTTGATCCTACGCAGAGATGTCAAAGCGAGGTTGAGCTGAGAACTTCGCAATAGAGATCGGGCTTTACGCTCGGTATAGCTTAGATCTCGTGGAAGGACTATACCGCGAGGCAATTTCCCTGGACGAACGAAGGGTTAGACTGGGGACATTAGAGACATTAGGTGACAATTAAACAAAGCTGTCACCAACGATGAACTTACACCGATCTAGAAATCCTACATTTCGACTTGACGCAAGTCCCTATGGATTATTATTATTAGTCCGCTTTTATGGAGCTTCGGAGCCTAGATAGATCTCTCAAAAGATATTAAATACAAAAAATTCTTAAACACGATCTCTCGAATGCTAATTCTTGCTTTAACATTAAATGGAAAAACGTAATTAATTTGGAATGTTTGATATTCTAAAATAAATTGTTTTCTTAAATTTTATATATATATATATATATATATATATATATATATATATAAAAGTCATATTTTTGCGCTTTTATATATGTGAAAAATATACACTGTTTCACAAAATTCTGCTTCATGAGAAATTTACACTTGATCTATTTTTTATTTATATCCGGGCTTGGTGAGAATCGGCAGAACCTGAGTTTGTAGTCGGACTGGAGATTGGAAACGGATCATTAGAACTGGCATTAGCAGCAATTAAATAGATCTGACGCTGGTAATAGTATTCGAATCTCCGAACAGCCCAAGTACGCGTCGCGCGTCCTGCTCCGTAGTCTTCTAATACGGGATTTACACTGAGGTGTAATTAGGATCAATTCTAATCGCGTGAGCGAAGCAGTATCTCGGGCAGGAGTAATCGAGATCGTTATCGAAGGCGACGCGTGTCTGCAAGACAAATCGAATTGTCTCGTGAAACGCGTTGTCACTCACGTAACGAAACGCTCATTACATTATTACCATTCTACGCATTATATAAAAAAGAAATTGAAAAAACAAAAGGTAACAAGTTTGATTATGAGTAACGATTGTATCGATGATGACTTTTAAGATATTAATATTTAGCGAAATTGAAATTTTTAGTATAATTGTTTTTAACATTTATAAAAAGATATCTTTATTTATGATATTATAAACGTAAGATTAAATTATATTCAAAATTCACGGAATATTTTTTGTCATCTTTTGTTTATCAGAAAACATTGAATATTGAATACCATCTTTTGATGAATAGCAATGTTTAATGTCATCAGAGTAGCATTATATTTTACTTCTATTGTAACAACTTACTGACTAATATCATTTTTTGTTTGCGCACGTAAGTTTTTCTCTCACCAGATATTTTTGTATTAAATGCGGTTTGTAAGTTAGGCGGGAATTACACATTGGATCTTTATTAGAGCGTCATTGAATACTGTCCATGTATCTATTCATTATTTTCACGGGTCATCCGCTTTTGATTAGAAATCCAACTTCCATTACGGAACAGTTTATCGGATAAGTGTGTAGATCCTATTGCGTTACAAAATTTCCATGTAGAAACGACAATGGAAGAATTGCATTGAACAGAGAAGTCTCCTGCAAATGTATATAACATTTTTCATTAGTCTGCTAATTGCAAATATTTTGAAGTAATTTATATTAATTGAAACTTGCTGTTTTATATAGATTTCGATGCAAATTTATGACTCAAATGTTCACTTCTGGATACGTACTATTATATACGCGACATATATCGTGAAAACTCCGTAAGTTTAGTTTTTTTCTACCGGCGTCATTTTATGAGTTAAAATAAAATTCTGGAAATGAAATCAGAATAGTGTACGACAGAAAAAGTCGTGTATCAGGCACTATGTGATGACTGAATATTGCCAAGGGCGAATAGTACTGAGAAAGTTCAATGATCGCGTTCCCTGATATCAATATGCAAATCTAGATGTTATCACGTATTTCTTATTTAACTGTAATATAAGAATATTATTAATATTATTAATATTATTAATATCATGATTTAATTAATATCTGTCAAATTTCTTCGAAACATGTTGTTAATAAATATAATATATTGAATTCTTATTGAAATTATTGAAATTATTATTCAACGATTATTGAAAATCTTACACGAAAATGTAAAGATTTTACAAATTAACTACAGAAAGAATATGTTGAACGAGTTGTGGGATGAACGTAAATTACTAGCCAAAGCATTTTTTTTTCACTTGATAATATATTGTGTATTTATACTTTTATTAAAAAAATCTCATTATACATAATCTCGATTATATTTTATATTTGTATAATTCTCACGATTTAGTTAAAAAAGATGCATATTATACACATAATACAATATCATTTTACTTTATTTAAACTCTGAATTAATAAGATAATTCTTCGAATAAATTTTGTGTCTTATTTTGTGGATAAAATATTCGTAGCAACATAATATTATTGTAAGACACAAGACAAAAACAATATTTTTATAAAACTTTTATAACTTTTTATACAAAATGGTACAATCCATTTTTCTAATTGTTTACTGAATGTTTATAAACTATTTCTCTAAAAAATTGTAAGATGAATGCAATTGAACAATTGGTTCCACCGACATTAAAAACTCCGTGGTAAGAGTTTCATCCATTTGTTCGACGAAAGCTCGATATACTATATGTACCGTTTTCGTTCTCGAAAACAATTAGAAAAGTGCTTTATTAAAAAGATTCGCTAAAGTTTGTTGGATCTCAGATCTATCGTTGTCTTTCTCAAGTTAATATAATATATATATATATATATATATATATCATAATATATAACATCAATCTTTACTCTCATAAAAATTGTACAAGATAAATGGCGAGATATTTATCATTGCTTATCAGGATTGTGAAACGTAACACAAAGGATTTTATTAAAATATATCAATCTTATGCGACTTTCTTTATATATGAAATCTATTCAATTCATAAGAAACGTAACGTTTTTCGAACGTATGGTGATGCAACAAAAGAATTCATAAGCAACAACTGTGACGTCCGAAGAGGACGTCCTCTTCGGACGATCTTCGGTGCATGGTAGTTGAAACGAATGTATTTTTAATTTAATTCAAGCAGAATTTTTCGCCAAGTCTCTCTTTAATCCTTTTCTTATTATCTTTCAACAAAGCAAGCTTCTCAGTTTTCTCGCTTGTTTTTTTCGCAGAAATAACTGTTTTCATTGTGCTTGCCATTAACAAAACGCGGAAATATCAAGTTAGCATTCTATACAAATATTCTATCACTGCAAATTGCTAATTTAAGTTTAATTTATTATAATTAATTTCAAGTAAATTTACTTTAGTGTATGTAAAAAGTTAGATGATCTTTCACAAGGAATTGAAGTGAATGGATTGCTAAGTATGATGGATGCCACATTGTGTACACTCCTGTATTCTTAATCGTCGAATATTCTTGTCGGAGTAATATTCTCGAAAATTCTTCTGTAAATTGATAAATGGGGATTACAGATAAATTTACGTAAATAAAAGATTTTTTGCGAATAAAACGAACGAGATATTAAATTACGATGATGCAATTTACATTTATATATGAATTAAATATTGTATGAAATGTGTGTGTGTGCGCGCGATGTGTATATATTTCCTCACTGGTGTTAACGAAACAACTAAGATAATGTTATAGGCTATTTTTTTTAAGAAGAAAAGTTATCTCAGCGTCAAATGTACATTCGACATAACATTTTCTTCATTCTTCCGACAGTGCGCTGTACAGTCAGTTTTTGCGTGCTGTTTCTTTATACTCGCGATTATTTCACTTCCTTGATGGAATTAGGATGTGTCCACTTTGCGAAAGTACGATGACAGTACAGTCAGAGATAGAAAAAAGAGTGAAGCCTTCCGCGATCACTGGGATCACAGAGGTTGGGCCAAGAGGGATCTGCATTTTACTTTATATTCGTAACGCGCGGACTCGAATCCCTCATGGTTTTCGTAGATAACGCACGTTCAGTTCCATTTGAACTCGAGTGGGGGGGGGGGGGAGAATGCAGAAAATATTGCTCGCTGCCTTTCGCATTCCGTTTCGTCGACGGATTTAAAAGGACGTGGCGTACCTGTAGGAAGCGATTTGTCAACAAACTTGTATCTCTTTATTAACGAGACCAATGTGGGCGAGCGAATGATCATTTGGATTTATGATAAACAATTATATAGAAAATAAGTTATGCAGAATAATGAATAGCCAAAATCAGCATTTCTTTTTTCTTTCTAT